GGGGGTCTCGCTCCCCACTGCGCACCCAGCGCACCTCGAACCCGGTCCCGGAACGTTGGGTCGGCAGCCCCGGGCTCCGAACGCTGGCGGAGTTTGGAGCGGCCGCGGGGCGTGTTGTGTGTCAAGTTGGACCGGGAGGCCAACAGGGTTTTTCTCGGTCCAACCCATGCTGGCCCAGAGCGGCAGAGAGGCGGCAGTGGGCTGCAAGGATTTCTTGGGGTGCTGAGGGAGACCACGATCCCGCAGCGAGAACACTCCCAAACAGTAGGGAGGCGCGAAGTCCCCGCGCCCGCCCGGGGTCGGCATTCCCGGAGTGTGGAATGTGGCACCGGCAGCCAGCCCCTGTGACAGACGGAGCCGGGACGCAGCCTCCTTCCTCCCTTGCCTCCCCGGTGTCTGGGGTGTGTGTGGCGGGCGGGGGTTGGTAAATTTCAACATCTGTGCTGCTGCGCTCTTTGGTCCTTGGAGGGAAACCGAGATTTTGGCAGCGTTTTTACTTCTGGACACCTTCTCTACCAGGGGATGAGCGCAGTGGGGGTCGTGGAGGCCGGCTGGAAAGTGATGGGTCAGAAGCCTGGCTCTTGGATGCTGGGAGGCAGCTTTTAGGAGGGGACTACCCTGGCACTGATTTGGGAGAAAAGGGAACCGGATAGCGTTCACTGTTCTAAGCAAAGGTGAACAACAAAGGACATTAATGTTGACTGATGAATACAGGAGGCTCCCTCCCCTCCCTCCTCCCTTTTCGGGAGGATTACTTTTTTTTTTTTTTTTTTTTTTTTTTTTTTTTTTTTTTTTTTTTTTTTTTTTTTTTTGTTGTTGTTGGATCTCAGCTGGGTCCCCCCTTGACAGTCACTCCTTTTAGGGTTGAGACTATTAAGAAGCAAGGCTCACTGACAAGCCCGAAGCGGCCAAATGCAATTATAACCTCCCAGAAGGTCTAACAGAAAGAAAGCATTATGGATTTTACTGACAATCTTCATTTCCTTTAATGCCCCGTCCTGCCGATTGGCGTTCTTGTTTTTATTGTGGACGGACCTGGTGATTTATATGGAACAGAGATGTGTTTATGTTCTGAATTCATTCTCCTGTCATTTAAAAAATTTGGAAAACCTTTCAAGAGAGTCCTAATCACAGGAGATTGCCGGCCCCCCTCCCGCCCCCCTCCCCACTTACCCTAGGGATGGTACTCATCTACCGAAGGGACTCTATGATTAAAGAAAACCGTATTTTTACGTGAGTTTCGGTTCAGGGCTGTGACTGGTTATCAAGACAATAGTTGGTCGTATACCCACCTTTGAGAAGGGTTTCCAGCTGTAAGGTAAGCCCTTGCCAAAAGGCTCTCCCAGAGAGGTGTAGAGAGTGATTGTTTTCTCTCCTTTCCTCCTCCTTTGGGGGGGGGGATCGGATAACCCCAGCAGGAGAGAAGGCATTTCCCTGTCTGAGTTAATAGGAACCAGAGGGCCTCCTAACCGGTCTTGACACCTGGTGTAGGAATCTCAGCCCCATCCAGGCAACACTGTCCCGATAGGAGACCATCCCAGAGGTGGTTTTCTTGCAAGTGTTAAATTATACAGATTATGGATGACATTTATTTTTCTAGATTTCCTTATGTGCCAGGTCACAGCTGGGGTGCTGGTATCGATTAGTTTTTCTCTCGCCTTTCTTTACAAGCTGTGGGCAGAGGCTTAAAAACCACTCTGGGATTTCCTGGAATGGCAACCGGATATGATCAGTCAAGTGTTTGGGGCTTTCTGCAGACACGTAGACTTGGGAAGCAGAGTAGGGGAAGGAGATAAGGGGGGTGTGCATGTTTGGGAAAGTGAGGTGGTGAAAAGATGAGAGGTGACAGTACAAAGGGGGACTCTGCCCCAAATTATTGCTGAGGTTCTCATTTGTGCAATGTCGAATACTCAAGACTGTTAATCATCTTTTATTATTAAGTTTTGAGCATTTGGCTTGTGGAAAGCTTAGTTGTTTTTGAAAACCCATCTGTTAGGCGGGTATGTGTTGAAAATTTTGCTAGGATACTTACGCAGGGACTTCTATTTCTCACCATGGTGAACAGTATTGGGAGCTGCTTAGATTTCAAAGTCTTTAAACATTTTTAAAATCTGAGTTATGATTATTACAGAGAATATATATTGTATTTGGCTCGTAGAAGGCAGAGAAGTAACTCAATTTGCTTATTCCTATACCCACAGTTTCAGTGTATAGTGTGTATTCTTGCAATGATGCCTCTTAAGTATTGTCTTTTATACAAATGTCTGTATGACTTATGATTATATATAAAGTAATATAATGAATAAAATACTTAAATTCTGTACTAGTAAGATGTATCAGGGTAGACATTCATGTCTAGAATGTAGGAATTATATTTAATATTGAATTGATGAGTGAGCATAAAACAATCAACACTTACTCTCTGGAAGTATACTAGTGAGACTTTAGTTCTTAGAGATAAAGAACCTTGCCTTTAAAAAAGAAACCAATTAGGTTGGGCAGAGGTGGTGCATGCCTTTAGTCCAGCACTAGAGAGGCAGAGACAGGAGGATCTCTGTGAGTTCCAGGCCAGCCTGGTCCACAGGCTCCAAAGCTACACAGTGAAACCCTGTCTTGAAAAACCAAAAACAAACAAACAAACAAACAAACAAAAAATGATTAGTACCTGAGCTTGGTGGTTGGTATTGTTCTGCTTATAACCTTAGCTACTTAGGAGACTCAGGAAGTAGACACTCAAGTGTAAGGCCTGTCTGGGCTTCAGAGCAAACTATAGGCTAGTATGATCAAGTTAGCAAGATCTAGTATAAATATTTATACACATGTATGTATGCATAAATGACTGGAAATAAGCAGAGTGGAAGAACTTCCCTAGCAAGCATGAACCCATAGATTCAGTTCCCAATATTGCCAAGAGAAAAAAGGTCAAGGATGAGGCTCAGTAGCACAGTGTAAGAGCTAGGGAATGATGATAGACACATTTGCCTTAGGTACAACCATTAGCTCCTGTCCTCATCTACACACTGCTGTCCCCTGTATTTCTGGATGTACTTAGTCTAAGAGTTATGAGTTGCGTCCCTGTCTCTGGGGTAAGTGCTACCCAAGGTAAAGACCAGTACTACTTCTGCAGAGTTCTTCCAACCAAATATGTCCTAATTACAAAACATCACCAAGGGCAGCAAGTGCTTACTAGAGATGCTTTTTGTTATGATGTGTCCCACATGATTTCAAACTAAAATCAGAAGTTAGCAAATGCCTTGTGGAAGGTTGCCTGAATCCAGGTGATTGCTGCTGTCTTTCTCAATCTGTTTGATTGTGTTTCTCAGGGACGGGCTCCACTGGCAATGACTCAAGTATTCTTGATCACCCCTTTCTCCAGGCCCTCTGAGCCTCTGTATGTCTCTGGCATGTCCTCTGCTCTTGGGCTTCATACAGTGTTGGCCATTGGTTAGAAGGAAAGTCAAAACCACTGCTTGTGCTTATTTGTTCACCATTGGTGCTCACCAGTCTCCTGAGAACCAGTGTATCCTCTGAGCCTCAGGTTTCTCCCTCTCAACCTAGGTAGATGTTTTACCTTTGTGAGCCTGCTTAAATTAGCCAGAGAATAGGGGCTAACAAACAAAAGAAAAACAACACCAAAAAGGGGTGGGGAGCCTCAGTGATCCTTACAGAACCCAAAATCTCAAGCAAGCTGCTCAGAAGGTCTGAACAGTCCTGATTTCACTGACCTTGACAAATACTCTTCTTCCTTCTTTCTCTGAATCATGTTCCTTGTTAAAGTGTCTAAAAAATTAAGAGGAAGAGGCGCCTTCTCTTTCTTGTTTAGGATCTTTAGCCTTCTTCCCTTGGGAAGGGCTCTTTGATGGTAGCTTGTGTGGGAGTTAGGAGAGTGTGTACTTTTCCTCTCGGCTTTTGTCAGTTTCATAGCTGTTTCTTAAAATGATTCCCATTTGTGCTACTGTATTGTAGATAGATAATACATAGAAGCAAGTAGTTTGAGACTGTTGGGCACTTTGAGCCTGGTGCAGGCTCTATACTGCAAGTGAGAAGAAAAAGAATAGTTAGAAGGGTGGAGCCAATCATAGAGCTGATGTTCCTGATCTAGCCTCCTGTGGCAACACCCAATAAAAAATAGTTTCCTTCTTTTGGTCATTGTCCTTTGGGATGATTCTTTCATAAGGTCCCCATGGTAACAGAGATGCTGTCCTTCCCTTCCAGTCTTGATTCACTTTAGAAGCTATTATAGTAGCACCATAAAGATTACAAAATTGCAAGAAATAGGCTTTTCCTGTTTGGAGCTGTATTCATTACCATAACACTTTCAGAATTGTCTTTGATAATGTATGTCCAAATTTTCCCCATGCTGACTTCATGTTGTGAGCACATGTATCAGAAAAATACTTAACTAAAGCAATAAAA